TTCCGGCATCAATTGCAAACAGAGGCTAATTGGGGCATCGCGATGGATTTCCATGCCAAGCAACCCGAACATGCATCATTCATCATCCAGAGCAGAGTCGAGGCAGTCCCTAGCTTGCATGCTAGTTTACTACTTTCCTAGTTTAATTTGTTAATTAATTAGGATTTTGTATTTATTCGGACTGCATTGTTCATTTGGGACTGTATATTATTTATTCGGACCCTCCGAGCGAGGGCAATGTTGTAATAAGTGTGCGTGCGTGTGATGTATGTCTTCTAACCCCACGTCTTTCTTCCCTTTTATTTACCTGCTTATGATGGTTAGATTAGGGCATATTTTAATTAGCATACAGTATGATAGCATGTTTGCATTCATTCATCTGTTTTGCATGCACCGGGCTCGGCGCATCATACTAACTGCATTGTATTTTCAATTCCAAATTGAATACATGTTAGCTGTAGCATTTCATATGCCATGTTTAGAATAGCCGAGCCTGCTATAGTTGCACTTTTGCATGTGTTGCATTAGGCATTTCTGTATAATTAGGATCATGCATGGATTTCTAATTAGCTTCTATTTTTGCTTGGTTTCTACTTAGGTCTTTGTTCTTACACTTGATTCACACACTTTCACAGAGTTTATTAGGCTTAAGGGTGAGTTTGGGCATATTTGATCTATGATGCACTTGTTTTCATCCTTATCTCTTTGCGCAGTTTTTTTGTCATGTGTTGCTTCTTTGTTGCTCTGAGTTATTGTGATGATCTTGTTTTTCTTTATGAATTATGCTTTGTAAAATTATGCATTTTGACATTTGGTTTTCCATCTCTAGATATTGCTCTTATTTCATTACATTATTGTTTACTGGATTTATTGGGTTACTAATGTTTTTTTTGGTCTAACTGTTTTTTTGGCTTTGGTTTTGGGGTTGTTCTGTTTGGGCAATCGTTGTTTTAACCTTGGAATCATTATGCCAGCTCCCAAACGTCGAAAGTCTACTGTGTCTTGCCCTTCGTATAACCCCAATAGTAAAATATTTAGGTGGCGACTCTGTATCTGGCAAAGCAGTCCATGTTTGGCACTTCTTTCAAAAATCTGTTTTCTCAAAACGATTTGCCGGATTTGGACTCTTTGGTTCAGACTTAGAACCGTGACAATTTGAGAGTCTGAACTGTAGTGAGCCCAATATCGAACGGAACGGGGGACCTCGTTTCTCCCGGGGGGTTCGGGGACGTCTACAACACAACACGTACAAGACATAACATTTGTTCAGCTTACTTGGAACTTGGAAGAGATCACTTCATTGGGAAAATGAATGAAGTGTTATGTATTATTGTATGAATATAAAAAAAAAAAATTAAGTAGGATGTAGGTCACACTCACGATGAATGTAATTCATTGATTATTTTTTTATGAATAGTATATATATATATAATTTTTTTTTTTTTTTGTGGTATGTGTGTAAAAAAATCATTGTTAGTGAAGGTTGAGAAAAAAAATACCACAAAATTCCACCACAAAATGAGTTGCATTTTCCATATTTTTGTAATTTTTTTTTTCTATTTATGTATGTACCATATACACATTATAATTAAAAAAGAAAATAGTATAATTTCATATTTTCTGAGTTATAATTAAAAAAAGAAGAAGGTATAACCAAACACTATATGAGGCATAATCAAACATCTTAAAATAATGTTATAACTAAAAAAAATTAATTATATCTAAAAAAAAAAATGTAACTAAAGGTGTATATGGTATAAGATGTGTATGGTAGATTTCTCATTATTATTATTATTATTTTATTATTTTTTTTTGTGAGAAAAAATGACACCTAAGGGCATCTCCAACGGTTCACCAAATATTTCATCAAGTCTGAGTAAAAATATGACAAATTTCTCTATCTGATATCAGCCACTCCAACGGTGAATATGTAACTGTTAGCAAAACACAGGTTGTCCGGGGGACGACTGGCTGGTCGTTTGACCGGTTGACTGGCAAGAGCAAATGAAAAAAAAAATAAAAAAATTCCCTCATTTTTATTTTCCTCAATTCCTTTGCCATTTCTTTTTCCCTCTATTAAATATTTTTCATTTCTTTTTGCTTCCCTAAATTATTTTCCTCAAAAAATAGATATAAACATATTAAACCATGTACTATATAAACCAAGCAAATAACGTTGTATCTGGAACCAACCCACAACTGAAAAACAAAGCATAATGATTAGCTCAACTTCTTATTTATTCACTGATTTTCCATTCTCTTCTTCTTCCTCATCATCTGATGATGAAAGTAATGATGAAAAATTGTTGCACTTCTGGGTGTTTATGAGATAAATAATGCTAGTATGATATAAATTCTGAGAAAAAGTGATCAATCAAAGAAAAGATGTGGTTCTATTGAAGGACATAAATACATAAGCCGTGATAGAAGGAAGGATCATGATTGATTATTTACGGATTATTTTGCGATAAATCCAGTTTATTCACCTGTAATATTTCGGAGACATTTTAGAATGCGTCGTTATCTGTATCTGCGAATTTTGAATGCAATTGAAGCACAAGATATATATTTTGTTAAAAAAAAAAAATGCAGCTCATATATCTTCGAATTGTCTCCACTTCAAAAGATGACTTCAGCAATTAGAACACTCTCATATGGAGTGGCAGCAGATGCAGTTAATGATTATGTGCGAATTGAAGAAAACACCGCAATTGAAAGTTTGAAACACTTTTGCAATTCAATAATCGAAATCTTTAGACATGAATATCTTAGATTTCCAACAACAACTGATATTGCTAGATTACTTGCTATTTGGGAGGTTCATAGGTTTCAGGGTATGTTGGGAAGTTTAGATTGCATGCATTGGAAATGAAAAAATTGTTTAACGGCATGAAAAGTTAATACGTAGGCCATCAAAAAAAGCCAACCATCATTCTTGAAGCAGTAGCTTCTTATGACTTGTGGATTTGACTTGCATTTTTTAAATGCCTGGATCACACAATAACTGTCTTGGATCGGTCGCGTTTATTTTCTGATCTTGTCCAAGGTAAAGCTCTGCCTGTCCATTACACTATTAATGGACACACTTATAATATGGGTTATTACCTTACTGATGGTATTTATCCTCAATGGGCAACACTAGTTCAGACAATCTCGTCTCCTCAATGGTGTAAGATTTAGCAAGGAAGGATGTAGAACGGGCATTCGGAGTGCTCCTTGGGGAGAAGAGATTGTTTAAATTAATTTTGCCCATTAAGGGTATATACCATCAACAACGTAATAACCCATATTATAAGTGTGTCCATTAATAGCATAATGGACAAGTGGAGCTTACCTTTGGGCAAGATAAAAAAAAATAAGGGCAACCGATCCAAGACATTCGAGTCATTGTGTGATCCAGGCATTTCAAAAAATATATATTAAATCCACAAGTCATAAGAAACTATTGCTTCAAGAATGATGGTTGGCTTTTTCTGATGGCCTATATATTGACCTTGCCATGCCGTTGGACAATTTTTCTATTCCCAATGCATATAATTTAAACTTTCCAACATACTCAGAAACCCACGAACCTCCCCAATAGCAAGTAATCTAGCAATATCAGTTGTTATTGGAAATTTGAGATATTCAGGTCCAAAGATTTCGATTATTGAATTACAAAAGTGTTTCAAACTTTCAATTGTGATGCTTTCCCCCAATTTGCACATAATCATCAACTGCATCTACTACCACTCCATATAAGAGCATTCTAATTGCTGAAGTCATCTTTTGAAGTGGAGACAATCCGAGAATATATGAATTGCATCTTTTTTTTGAACAAAATATGTGTTGTGTGCTTGAATGACATTCAAAATTCGCAGATGCAGATGATGACGCATTCTAAAACATCTTTGAAATATTGCAGGTGAATAAATTAGATTTGCCGCAAAATAATCCGCAAACAATTGATCATGAGCCTTCTTTCTATCGCAATGTATGTATTTATGTCCTACAACAGAACTATCTCTTTTCTTTGATTGGTCACTTCCTCTCAGAATCTGTATCATACTAGCATTATTTATCTCTTAAACACCTAGAAGTGTAACAATTTTTTCATCATCAGAGGATGAGGAAGAAGAAGATGAAGATGATGGAAAATCAGTGAACAAATAAGAAGTTTAGCTAGTCATTATGCTATGTTTTTCAGTTATGGGTTGGTTCCAGATACAACGTTGTTTACTTGGTTTATATAGTATATGGTTTAATCTGTTTATATTTGTTTTTTGAGAGGAATAATTAAGGGAGGCAAAAAGAAATGAAAAATATTTAATGGAGGGAAAAAAAAAATGACAAAAGAATTGAGAGAAACAGAAATGAAGGCAATTTTTTTTTTCATTGACTAGCCAATTGTCCCTCTAGACAATCTATGTTTTACTAACAGTTACAAATTCATCATTGAAATGACTAATATCAAATAGAATAATTCGTCCTATTCATACTTAAATTTAATAAACAGTAATGCTACAGAGCCCGAATATAGGGCTCGAATTTGGCTCGAAATTAGGGGGAAGAAGAAGGAGGAGGAGGAGGAGGAGGAGAAGAAGAACTCAACTGGAGGGGCCAACAAAATCGGGCAGAGGTGGAGGTGGAGGTGGAGGCGGAGGCGGAGGTGAAGGTGGAGGCGGAGGCGGGAGGCAGAGGTGGAGATGGGGCTGCGATGCCGACGAGCGACGAGGGACGAGCTGCGAGATCGGCCGACGAGCTGGGACGCCGACGGGCTGCGATGCTGACGACGACCTGCGTTCTCGCTCTCGCTCTCGCCTCTGTGTTCTCTCTCTCGCCTCTATTCAACTCAAGGAAGAAGAAGAAAGAAAAGAAAGAAAAGGAAGAAAAAAAAAAAAATCAAAACCCAAAACGACGTCGTTTTAAATTTTGAACAAAATTCGAACCCCTAATTTCGGTTACTCAAACATTATTCTTTAATAACATATTTGGTGACCATATGCCGAAGCTCTCAACAGATTATTTGTACCAGCAAAACCATTTGGTGTATAACGACCAACGTTGCTTCGTTTGGACTCCATGCCCAAGTCCACCCTCTCCCTCTCTCCAACCTCACCTCCGACTCCTCTCCGATGGCTACCTCTCAACTCTTGCACCAACCCCTTCCCTTCCATCTCACTCCAATCTCTCTCTCTCTGTCTCTCTCTCTCCTGCAAAACCACAACCCAGATTACAAAATCATAAAATCTCTAAACCCATCAAAGATCAAGTCTAATCTGAAAGAGCAGAGCACAATATCATATCACAAAATCTTCAAATTTGGTCAACCCATTGTTGAAGGAGAGGAATCATCTCTCAGTATATCGGGAAATCAACATGGGTTCAGATTCTATCTTAACCCCAATCATCAAACCCATGCCAATTCCAACCCAAGTAGAAGAAGAAGTAGAAGAAGAAGACCCTCCCATTCCAACCACAGCTCTTCTCTCCTTCAACACTGACCATTCTTCTTCACCCACACCTTCAAAACCCACCACCACCACCCTCCTCTTCATCTCTCTCCTCCTCACGACCTTCATTTCTCTCTCTGCCGCCCTCACTTTCGCCTTCCTCTTCTTCTCTCACACCTCCCAACCCATTCCTCAATTCGCTCGTCCACTCACCAAACTCAACCACCCAGTTGTTCTCTTGATTTCCTCTGATGGGTTTCGATTTGGGTACCAATTCAAGACCCCGACCCCCAACATCCATCGCTTGATCAACCAAGGCACTGAGGCTGATTTGGGTTTGATTCCTGTCTTCCCAACTCTAACTTTCCCAAATCATTACGCAATTGCCACTGGTTTATACCCTGCTTATCATGGAATCATCAACAATCTCTTCTTTGATCCACACACTGGTGATACTTTCTTTATGGGTAGTCATGATCCCAAATGGTGGTTAGGCGAGCCTCTTTGGGAGACTGTGGTCAATCATGGCTTGAAGGCTGCAACCTATTTCTGGCCTGGTTCTGAGGTTAAAAAAGGTTCCTGGACTTGCCCTGAGGATTTATGCAAGCATTTTAATTATTCAGTACCTTTTGAAGAGCGAGTCGATACGGTTTTACAGTATTTTGATCTTCCAAGTAGTGAAATCCCTGTGTTTATGACATTGTATTTTGAGGACCCTGATCATCAGGGTCATAAGGTTGGGGCTGATGATCCTGAGATCACTGAGGCGGTTGCTAGGATTGATAGGATGATTGGGAGGTTGATTCAAGGTTTAGAACAAAGAGGGGTTTTTGAGGATGTTAGTATAATCATGGTGGGTGATCATGGAATGGTTGGTACATGTGATAAGAAGTTATTCTTTCTTGAAGATTTATCACCATGGATTGAAATTCCACAGGATTGGGTTCAATCTTATAGTCCATTGCTAGCCATTCGTCCGCCACCAAGTTTCTCTCCAGTAGATATTGTGGCGAAGATGAATGAGGGATTAAATTCGGGGAAGGTTGAGAATGGGAAGAATTTGAAAGTTTATCTTAAGGAGGAGCTGCCTAGTCGGCTACATTACTCGGGGAGTGATAGAATTCCACCAATAGTAGGGTTGATTGAAGAAAGTTTTAAGGTGGAACAGAAGAGATCAGAGAGGAAAGAATGTGGAGGATCACATGGGTATGACAATGCGTTCTTCTCAATGAGGACTATCTTTATTGGCCATGGTCCTCAATTTGCCAGGGGACGAAAGGTTCCCTCCTTTGAGAATGTTCAGATATACAATTTGGTCACTTCCATTCTCAATATACAAGGAGCTCCCAACAACGGCACTGCATCATTTCCCAAATCTATTCTTTTGCCTCGCCACTGAAATCCACTGAGATTATTCAAACAGTTTGAATTTCCGGAGTAGTGGCAGATATACAGGGATGGGTCAGAAAAGTTTAATCTGTTATGAACCCATCTCCATTTTGTTTGATGATATTATTAACCAAAATTTATTCTAGGAACACGAGGTAATACACCAATTTCTTGTCATCTCTTCCATTTTGTTGGATCCAATGTTAATGAGTAGCACATGTAAGTGTGGAACCTAGCATCTAAATTGTATTCTTGTAATTATCATTATTTTTATACAGGTATATGAATATACCACTTGGATGTTTGAACATGATCTGTTTTGAGTTAAGGAATTTCCATGTTTCTATTGACTTTAATTTAGATGTTTGTTTTAGTTTAGAAGGGCATTGCAAATTTGGTCATATATTTGATTGTGGAAATTGCAATCTACTTGGTGGACTTCATTGTCAAATTAAGGATGCATACTATTGCTGAGTTTAACGATACAAATGGAACGGAAAAAGGATATATACCTAAAAGGTGAAAAGAATTCATGCTAGGTTTGGGCTGTTTAATATTGTATAGATGGACATATTCTAGCTATTGCCTGTGTCCTTTTTATCGACTGTGGAACCTATATTAGTCTTGGCTCATTGCTTATCCATGTCTTTTATTACTTGAAATTTTGCTTCCAGGCTTGTAACATTATCAGCAATTATTGCCACTAGGATTAAGATTTTATTCTTAGATCTTTTCGACTTAAGCAACCTTGAAGAATAGAATACATAGAGTTGTATGTGGACACAGATGATTTTGAATTATTATTCATCTGATCTGAAACTTAAAATCTTGTCTCTTTGGCATAGGTTAGTGAGCTTCTATATTCAAACTTAGATACTTGTCTTCTCCCTTTTCATATAGTAAAACCAGTTGAAAGGTGGATTTTGATTGTTGCATTGAGGCAAGTGGTGTGAACTTTTAGTGTTGCAATTTAACATTGACTAACTTATATGCATGCTCATAACTTGGAATGTGCATTTGATTAATTCTGCATATTTTCTCTAGGGAACAAAAAAAAAAGAGGCTTCAAGACAGCAATTTATCTTACTTGCCTGTTTTATTCTCAACATGCTTTAATGGTTTAAGGGTTATGAAAAACATCAAGTAATACAACTTGTGGATATCTACAGATCACTGTTGATAATAGAAGTAAATGAAGTACTGAATCATCTCTCTCTCCTTTTCTGAGCATGCTTATTGATAAAATGAGGTTGCTGATGGTGGGTGAAGGTTAAAATCTTAACTAATTATTTGTCTCCATGTTCATTAATGAGATGCAGTGTTTTCTGAAATTCTTGATTTTTATTGATTACCCAAGACCATTTGGATCTTTAGATTTGAGTAGAGAGATTTATGAAGGGAAAAGTCACAAAATAGAAGCTATTATCACTTTTCACCTCTCATTTTTCCCTCTCCCTCCATAAATACTACCTCGTTTGGGAACATGCTATTTTAGTAACTTTTTGACTTTTTACGAAAAGATGTGCAGAAAAGTAGAAAGGTGATGTGACAACTTTTAATAACTTTTTGGTTAAAATAGCCACTCCCCAAACGAGGCTGCCAAACAATGTCTAAGAACACTAGTTAACAAACCATAAATGGTTGTACATTCCTCAGCTAGCCACTTCTGTCACGAATGTAAAACTAGTAAACAAACCATTGTAAGACATTGTAACAAACCATACTTGTTATTGTGTTTTTTTTTTTTGGCTTCAAAAATCATACAGATTTTCAGGTATTTTAAGTGTTTCATAGTCCTTTTTCTAGTACTGATGAGAAACACTCCATTATTGAATTGTTTTATATGCTTTAAAATCCACCAGGAAACCGATGTGTCAAGCAAAGTTGCCGAGGCCATTTTGTTGTGGATTAGTTTTTTTTCTTCATCAATTGTTGCAGAAGAGCAAGAGGGTGTAAGTTATGATTGTTTCTCAAGCTTGCATGTTTGAGGTGTTATACTCATCCGATCAGAATGAAGATTGAAGTATTATTCGACTATCATGGCGTTTTGAGTACAGAATTATACCACAAAACTCTTTTGATGAGTTTGGTTATGATTAAAAAAATGTTGGGAAGTGCGGGAAAAATATAAGAAAACGGAATCCTTTTTTTTTTTTTTTAAATTTTTGTTTTGTGTTTTTGGTGTTGGTTTAGCATTAGAGAGAAAAAAGTGCAAGAATATTAATCTCATTTTGAATTCATTACACTTTTCATTTAAAAAAGGGTTCAGTCTAAATTTTTGAGATTTAAAAAGCGTCATCCAGTTCAAAATCTAGACTGGAGTTTTCCTTCATTAAAAATGTATTTTTATTTCAATTTTATTTGTGTACAAAATTACTTTTAAAGGCAAAAGACAAAAAATAAATAAATTTGAAACTTTATAATCATTCCATTTTAAAGAACTATTCCTTTGTCCTTTTTCATTTCATTTCTCTATTGCACATTCTCTTACAAAAGTACGAATCATAGTTTTGAAAAAAAATAATAAAATAATAATACAATAATGCTAGAGGGTCATAATTTTTGTGGCCACAATGACTCAAAACTGTCAAAACGACGTCGTTTTGACATGTTTTGCACTCAAAACGACGTCGTTTTGACAATTTTAAACCATTATGGTCACAAAAATTATGACCCTCAAACATTTTTCATAATAATAATAATGAGGCAACGGACCGAGAAAGTGTGATAAATGAATGACTAAAGAAAAAGGTTAAATGATTTAACATTTTCAAATCGAATATGAAGATGAGCGTTCGATTTTTGAACATAACTAAACAGTCCAGAGCTCCACTGCCAAAATAATAATGTTACACTAATAAAAAATTCATGCATGAGACCTTTTATTTTAAAATAAAATTGGACGAATCATATTCATCGTCTCCATAGTTTGAGATTTGTATCATTTTAATTTCTGACATTTCAAATATAATACATCTGATCCTAAATTTTGAATCTCGTTTTAAATAAAGATAATTTATTCTATTTGAAGGGCAAAGTCGTCATACAACTTATTTTGTATTGGTTAATTTATATATTGTTTGAAATATAATGGTCTTTTTTTTAATGAATAATATTGAATTTTTTTTGCTTATAAAGATCTGTTTGGTTTGGTTTTCATAATTTTTTTCCAAATTTTTTTTCTAAGAAACTAAAAATTAAATTAGTGAAAAAAAAAATAAAAACAAATCGGCCTTGTTTGGTTTGGGTTTGAAAAAAAGATTTTGGAGAAAATTTTTAAAAATTTTGTTTGGTTTATAATTTTTTTCAAAAAATTTTCAAAATCACTTTTTCTCTCTCATCTCTCCTTTTCAATCACTTTTTCTCTCACATATATCTACTCAATTACAACAAAATATCAAATCATCTCAAACTCTTAAACTCCAAAACTATTTTCAAAATATACAACCAAACAAATTACAAAAATTTATAAACTCTCTTCCCAAAATATTTTTTGAAAACTTATCTCCCCAAATCAAATCAAACAAGGCCATCATTTTTATATAATTTTATCTTTTGGAAGGGTAAAAATAATTTTTTGAAATATATATATTTTTATATTTATTTTAGTTAAATTAGTCTTTAATTTTTCAAAAGTCAAATATGACGACAACTTTAATGTCATTATTAAACTAATTCATTAAATCAAAAAATCTCAAACAAAAAATATTTCATATATTAAACATATCGATTATAAATTAAAAGCCTAATAATCATCCATTACATGATAACCATCCAAAAATATTTGTTAACAACAAATACAAATATCTATTACATTATAATCATTCAAAATTATCAACAAAAACAACTATCCATTATATGATTATCATTCAAACATATAATAAAAATTAATTTGGTAAAAAAATAAAATATAAAAGTATAAAAAAATTTATCATTTTTATATAACTTTATTTTTAGTGAGTAGAAATAACTTTTAGAAATTTAAAAATAATTTTTTAACATTTATTTTTGTCAAACTAGTTTATATTTTATCAAATTGACAATTTTGCTTTTGAAATGGAGCAATAATATCTTCAATTATATTTATTTGGAACGAAATGACACAAATTTCAAACTACAAAAACCGTTAATATAATTAATTAAATATAAATTTATTATAATAATAATCAATGTGTTTGTTTCAGTTTTTGAAAATTGAGTTTTTTGTTTTTCGTATTTTTTTGTTTATAGCGAATATTTTTTAAATTTTAAGCATTTTTTTTTTAATTTTTTGTCGATGTACCTTACTTAGATGTATTTAAAAAGTAAAATATTTGTAAAAAATTAATAAATACATACAAATATACATAATTTTCATTTTTTTTTTGTATTTTTAGTATTTAGTAAATTTTTTTAAAGATTTTTTTTTTCATGAAATTATAATTTTTAAGTGTATTTATATTAAGTGTGTCTAAAAATTTAAAAAATTGCTTAAAATAATAAAAATATTCAGTAAAAACAAAAAATAAAAAAAAAATAAAATTTTCTGAAAAATATTTTCAAAAAATTAAAAACCAACGTGAATATTATCATATCATTCTTCCTAAATTTTTTTGTAATGAATTTTATGTAATGGAGCAGCCTTACCCAAATGGAGTTAGAGCCGCTCTGTCCGTCCGTATACGATTTGGTTCGCACAAAACGTAACGATATTTACAATAATATTTCTTTACCAGTTAACAAACACGGAGCAAAGAGAGAGAGAGAGAGAGAGAGAGAGAGTGTGTGTGAGAGAGATAGAGGGGCTATACTATACACACCATTCTTTCATTCATGGCATTTTCTTTGTGTTTCAACTGATATACATATACTCTACACGAATCTATATGCCCATTTGTATCCAATTGCATACACGAAAATCTCTGCACTCTTTCTCTCTCCCGCTCAATCTCGATTGTCTCTGACTTCGATGGCAGATGTTGTTCGACTATCTTTCAATTCGCTTCGATTCTCTTCTTCGGTGCTAAGTTCCTCCTCATCCTTTAATTCTCTGCAACAGGGTCTCCCTCCCAATCATAATTCGTGTAAGAGAATTTCTTCTACTACTACTGGAATTGTTGCTCGCTTTGCCTCTAAACCCACCAAGCAATTCGATTCTTTCAAGGTAACACCTTCTCTTTTGATTTTTAATCCTCTTTTGAAGTGTGGCTTCACACTGAAGTCAACTGAGCCATTGCCATTGTTGATTTGAGTCGAGTCGAGTTTTTATTTATTGCTGTTTTAATCGGTTCGTAATAATGATGGAAAAATTAATTTTCTTTTTAGATTTTCATGGCAGCCAAACGGGTTTTAGAATTTAGGGTTTACTTTGGTGGGTGTTCAATTATGGATATTAGATTGTAGTAAGTGCATTGGTTTGAAATTTGAGTTGAATATTTTAAGGTTGTTTGAGATTCCCGGCTACAAGTTGATTTCATTGGTTTTTAATGAATTTTCACTATATTACCCAACCCTTAGCTATCTCCAGCAAATTTTAACACAATTTAAGTAAAAATTTGAGTAAAATCTTTATTTCATATTTTTAGATAACTGGTGTCTGGGCCAGTCAGCGTGGACCTCGCCTAATCCAGAACCCTACAGTTAACGACCGGTCCAGTGGCATCTTAGGGTAACTCGAACTCGAGACCTTTTGGATCTTATATCCTCAAATGGGCAAACTCACATTTAAGCATAAATTTGAGTAAAAGCTTCAGTAATGACAGAATTGTAAATTTGAAAGCTACGAAATGGTCTTGCAAAATTTGAGTCTCCATTGATTTGGGTAAAAAAAAAAAAAAAAGATAAAACTCAATTTGATGCAAGTCTGAGTCAAGGAGTGGAGAGATTTTGAGTATTTTTTATACAAATTCAGATTTGATACCATACAATAAAATTGAAATCTGACTTATTGGGTTGAGTGTTTATGTAAGCACTTAGCAACATATTGTTGCTAAGGCGTGTCTGGGAATTTCACAATGCATGTCCAATTATACTGTTAAATTGGCTTGTGCTGCCCGGGAAGAAAAGAAACGTAAAGGAGTTTTTTCAATTTTTTTTAGTTCGTTCCATTTTGTCTTGGGTTGAAATTTGATTTCTTGGTTTAGCAAACATGGTTCAGCCTATGAGGCACGGATACTTCAAATAGGGTGACGCATGTGTAACGCCCCCAAAATAATACAAATAACCCAACTCATAAGAGAAGTGAGCATAATAAAATTGATATCATTTCATTCATCAAAATTCATATTACAAAAGATAATACACGCAATATACATTCACAAACGTACATCCTGAATCTATAGCATGTAACACCAGTTAATAATAACAAAATAAATGTCCTACGGGCTTACATCTTTCTAATATATTACTTGGTTACAACAAAAGAAAGTCATAAGCTCTGTACATGTAAAGCCCTTGACTTGAACAAACATTTAAACAACAAAATAGAGCCTCCAACTCCAAGGTTCTCCCAAGCTATGTCCTCGGAGGAAGTATTTCCACCGCCGGTACTTGAAAATGGTTTCTCAAGTAGGGTGAGCTAAAGCCCAGCAAAGACAATCTAGCACAATATATGAGGTTTAACTAAGATATAAGTGTCAGATAAACATTAACGTACATTCTTCCCATGACCATTCAGTACCGATACACACATCTCAATTTATTTCCATTTATCTATTTCGAGTTAATTTATTTCATTTTAAGTCATAAGTCAAGTTTATAATTCTTTAAATAACCTAACCGGGACAACAACTTAGTGGTTCTTTAAATAACAAAACTATCACACAAGCACTTCAACCTTGCCATTTTACGGGAATTTCGTCCGCGGGATCGGCACCCATGTATACATAAGATTTTAGGACTTTCACCTTGGACACTCCGGCCAACTTAATTTTTAATAGAGTTCATCTCCTATCTCCTCCCAAACAATGGAGTACATCCCCTTTCTCCTCCCAAAACGTTATACATATAAAATGTATTTAAAGTATCGTCATATTCAATGACTATCCATAACACATATTCAATGCCTCAGTCATATCGTCATATTCAATGATACAATTTAAATAATTAGTTTCAATCAAGGTTTTAAAAAGCGGCCGCAACCGTTACGTAACGCCGTTACGTAACGGTTTTGGCGATTACCGCCACCCGTTACGGCCGCTTTTGCAGTGTAACTGAGATTCACAGGTGTGTCGGTCGTAGCGGCTGCCGTAGCGGTTGTAACGGTGCCGTAACAGCCGTACGTTATACATATACAATGTATTTAAAGTATCGTCATATTCAATGACTATCTATAACACATATTCAATGCCTCAGTCATATCGTCATATTCAATGATACAATTTAAATAATTAGTTTCAATCAAGGTTTTAAAAAGCCGCCGTAACCGTTACGTAACGCCGTTACGTAATGGTTTTGGCGATTACCGCCACCCGTTACGGCCGCTTTTGCAGTGTAACTGAGATTCACAGGTGTGTCGGTCGTAGCGGCTGCCGTAGCGGTTGTAACGGTGCCGTAACAGCCGTAACGGCCTGTTACACACCGTTACGTAACGGTCCCAAACTGTTTCTTTCGAAAAAACATACAAAAAAAAGCTAAAAATGGGAAAAGAGGGATAAAGAGAAGAGGGAAGATAAAGAGAGAAAATAGAGAAGCAAGAGATAGAGAGAGAGAGAGAGAAGAGGGAAGATGAAGAACATGTTATTGATTTGTTGAAACTATAAGACCTATGCTATTCTATTCAGCTGCTATCACTAAACCATTTTGTTTGTTTGTGTGTGTCTATCTATATATTGTTTGAAAATAATAATAATAATAAGTGGTCATTATCTATTTGGCTTGGTTAAAAAATATATATATATGTATATATATATTTAGGCTCTTATTTATTCTCTTACTTTTATTATTATTTATTTTATATATAATAGTTAGTGATTGATTTTTTGTAAAATATAAAGTCATTAATTATTAAAATAAAATGTAAAAAACTTAGTTTATAGTGATTTAAAAATATAAAATGTATTGGATCATACTTAAAAATTTACAAAAATTGATCAATATTTATTTTTAATCCAATAAATATGATCATGGAAAAAAAATATGCGTATCGGTGAGTTTTTTTCAAATTGTGCGAAAAATAAAAAAATTCACGGTTCCGATTACTGCAACCGTTACACTACGGCCTTTACACCCCGCAACCGCAACCGCAACCGCGTCACCGCCACCATTATGGCGACCGCAACCGCTTTTTAGAACCTTGGTTTCAATTCATCTAATTCTCACGCAATTTCTACAACAATCACAACTATTTTCCACTTATAATCCAATACTGATATTTCTAAACACATATACAATCTTTATAACAGATAATTCATCGAATTTCTATAGGTGTGTGATTAAACAAATCCAACTACTCCATTCATTTATACCTTTTTCCAATTTCACATTTCTCACACTAATTTCATTATTTATACAAAATAATTATTCACGACATATTATGGCAAATTTTTCTCTTTTTCAAATATTAACCCAAAGGTTAAAATCCACTATTCTAACACAAGGTAACCTCATATTCAAAATCCCATAGTCATTTATGTAAGCCCAACACAGAAATCGCTCTTTTCAATTTGAATCCAAACCCTAAGTTTACTCAAAATACTCCCAAATCTCACTATTTATACATAACAACAAATAACTAGGTTAAATATCATAACAAAGTGCAGAATATCCCTACCTCAAGTGTAGAAGCTCAAAGGAGAAGTGGAGAAATTTCAAAAATGTCGGAACCAAACTCTAGTCGGATGTAATGGTAGCCCTTGAGATGCTCCAACTCTTTAACAAAGGTACTAGGGTAGAGAACCCACTAGATCATGGTTAGAAGTAGAGAGAGAGTGTGTTTTAGGGAGAGAGTGTAGATTTAGGTTTTTAGAAAGTTTTAGAGAGAGAGAGGGATGAAAAAGTGATATAAAATGTCACTTTCGCGATTTGATATTCACACAGTCCGCTCGAGCAGAAGAGTTGATGCTTGAGCGTCAGACACAAAGTTTTGTTCCGCTCGAGCGCAAAAAGTCCCGTCCCTACCTCAAGTGTAGAAGCTCAAAGGAGAAGTGGAGAAATTTCAAAAATGTCGGAACCAAACTCTAGTCGGATGTAATGGTAGCCCTTGAGATGCTCAAACTCTTTAACAAAGGTACTAGGGTAAAGAACCCACTAGATCATGGTTAGAAAGTAGAGAGAGAGTGTGTTTTAGGGAGAGAGTGTAGATTTAGGTTTTTAGAAAGTTTTAGAGAGAGAGAGGGATGAAAAAGTGATATAAAATGTCACTTTCGCGATTTGATATTCACACAGTCCGCTCGAGCAGAAGAGTTGATGCTTGAGCGTCAGACACAAAGTTTTGTTCCGCTCGAGTGCAGAATGCACATTTCCAGTAGTTTGGCAGACAACAGACAAACCGCTCGAGCGCAAGAAAAGCCGCTCGAGCGCCCACCTGCTCGAGTGTAGGAAGCGCCGCTCGAGCGTAGAAAACACCCCTTTAGTATTTTGCAGACGTGCAAAGTATTGAGTGTTTGCGAACCTTGCTCGAGCGCAAGAAGGTCGCTCGAGCGCAAGACCAAAATTCTAGGCAACAACATTCAAGATCAACTAGCAACCAACCTGTTCTAAACAAGTCCAAGACATTCCAAAACTGAAATTCAAAGAAGAAAAGGAGGAAAAGACATCAATAACAATATTAAATCACAAGACCCGAGTCCGGAATATAACGATTGACGGGTCCAAACCGAAATCGCTATAGTATGTGTATCGTATCCGTATCGGATACCGATACTCTTTGAATACTCGCGGATAAGTATCGGATACTTATTAAAAGTATCGGATACTTCTTAATTATTTTTTCATTAATTTTGGAGTATCGGATACTTAATTTTGAAGTATCAGATACTCCAAGTCATGTTTACTTGTTTTATGAAATTAGAATTATAGCATTTCTTGCATAGTAATATAATATAATATAATTGCAAGCAAGATTGTTAAAATCGGGATCCTAAGTAGGATCAGTGAGAGGGTCTGGTGGATCGGATCGTAGGATCGGATTAAGGATCGTAAGATCCTACTTTCTATTAAAAAAAAAGATAAAAATTAAAATGATACATATTAAAAATAAGGTGAAAAATCATAAAATCTACGATCCTACTTGCGGTCTTACCTATGATCCTATATGATCTTACACGATCCTATGTGATCCTACATGATCCTACTTGCGATCCTGTTGTAATATCGATCCTACAACGATCTAGATCGTTTTGGCAAAGTAGGATCGTAGGATCGTACGATCCTACGATCCGGATCGCGATTTTAACAACCATGATTACAAGTATAAATATAAGAATATTTTTCTAATAATTTGTTAAGTTCTTCGATAAGAAGAGCATAGTGAGTTAAATAATAGAATTTGTCAAATTGACTTATCTTAATTATTTCTTGCATGTCCCCCATAACTACATAGAAAGTAAGAATTAACAAAAGAATATAACAATGGTAAAATTAAATATCAATAAATAAATAAGTAAGTAAACTTAAATACAATATTTTTCACTAGTGTCAAAGGGAAAAACATAGGGACAAGTTGTTAATTGTTCTATTATTGTAATATAAACATATTAAACCTGATATTGAAATGAAATATTTGCAAGACCTATTAAAAATTTAAAAAGTAAACAAGTTACTAGCTTAAATTAATACAAAATTCTTAAAGGTTAGTATTTTGAATTATAAAATTAGATTGTGATTTCTCAACGTTCTTTAGCTTATGTGTAACTCACTATTAATAACTTTAAAAAATATATTTTTCACAAACGTATCCTAACCGTACCGGTATCCTATTTTTTTAGGTTTTGTCGTATCGCCGTATCCGTATCCGTATCGTGTCGTATCCGTATCTTGTATCCGTAACTATGCTTCCTAAGGTTCAGCAAACAGTCATTAAAGCCCCTCCTTTGAGAGTTTTAAGTGGATGGAATTTTAACAATAGTTAGGTTTTCCATTTTAAATATCTGAAGAACCATTGAGTTTTCGATATTTTGTTGCATTCATATTTTCTTTTCTTTCTCAAAGAAACTCTCTACTAGTACTGTAGATGTCGGTTTCTGCTAAATATGACTGGCGTCATGAAGAATAGTTAATACTTGATAGATTTCGTCTTGATCTAACTACTGGATTTTAGTTTTACAGTTGACTTTTCTTTATAGTTAATAGTTGATGGAGAGACCAGAAAAAGGCTGGCTTTGAATAAGAAAATGTATTAACTCATCTAGTACTGAATTAAACCAAAAAAAAAAAGAAAAAGAAAAAGAAAACTAGTTTGAAAATTATTGTGAACTTAGTTTTGGACATGACAACTAGAAGTGTGAGAAAACCTGTTTGCAACAGAAATAAAATCCCAACAAGAGGACTACTGAGCAACTTACTCAAAATTATACCTTCTATGCTTAATCTAGCCACTCAGTAAAGTTAACCTTAAATATATTTGAGAGTTTAATTCAAACATACAAGTGTAACACCGATTAGTGTTGTCTAAACTATGATGTACACGGGTATGTATGGACTTCATTTGAGGCTTCAAAAGAAATTTCTTTTTTTCCCCGAAATGTGCTTCATTCTTCATCGACACCATCCCCATTCTTCTTAGTAATTAATTAGTAATACTGCTATACTCTTGTTCTGTTATATATGTGTGTGTATTGATAAGTTGGCTTTTATATGTATAAATTAAGGAGTAAGGGGTTCTGGTGTCATCTTCAATTCACTTTGACTCATTTTTGAGTTATCCAGCCCTTATCCTTGTTTTCTTGTTCGGGGTTAAAGTCCCCTAAAGGTGGCTTTTGCAAGTATTTGGCATGATATTTTGTTGTTCTCATAATAACCAAAAAAAAAAAGAGAGAAGAAAATAAGATAAATTTAAAGTTAAAACTCCATGAGTTCACACACTCACGCACAGAAATTTTGCATGATATTGTTCTCAAAATTATTATATTTGTTATTTTACCAAATAAACAAAATTTGCGCAAATTATCTTCAGGTACATGCAACTGTTGCTGAAACTGAACAGCCGAAATGGTGGGAAAAAAATGCAGGACCAAACATGGTTGATGTTCATTCTACACAGGAATTTTTGAGTGCTTTAAGTCAAGCTGGAGATAAATTAGTTATTGTTGAATTTTATGGTACTTGGTGTGCTTCTTGCCGAGCACTATTTCCCAAGGTAACTTCTGTTACAGAATTTATTTATGGTTTCAGAACTTACTCATAGATACATGCCTGTAATCCTTGGCAGATTTCTTCCTTTACTACTTTTAAATGTTTGTTGGTCTGAATAACTACGTATTTTATTATTAACAAAAACTCTTTTAGATTTTTCCTGAGAAAATATTTTAGAGTTCTCATAGCAGATGTAACCAATGACACGTCAGATTGCAATGAACATTGTAAAGGAAACATCACATTACTTAAGGATGAATGGCATAATGAGTAAAATCTTTGTTTGGTTGTAAGTTCCATTTTATCTCACTTGGGCTATGTCATGGCAAAACTCCAATTTAATACTTCTATGGTATCTTAGAAATTTGATGGTAAAAAGGCATGAGGACGGGTTGTGCTTGTGCTATGAGAACCCTGAACGGCCAAGATAGGACAGAGCTTTCCAGATTGAATGTATGTCTGGACTCCATTGAGTTGGAAGGTTGAAAATTGAGAAGTGCACGCGTTTAGATAGTTGCAAACTTTTTGACAATGCAATTTTGATGGAAAAATATTTGTTATGAGAACCTCATTGCTTTGGCAATTGCCAATATCTTCATATGAAAGTGTCAATGTTTGCTTTATAATACCAAGCTAGAAGCAATGGACTGATTCTAATTTCATTGGATGGTCAAACCTAGTTGGGAAAAACATTTTTTCTATTTGTTGTGCTGTTTTGAAATTGGTTTTTGTATTTGAGATTACTTTTTGCCTAATGTATTTTGTATTGGATTTTCAGCTTTGCAAAACTGCTGCAGAGCACCCTGAAATTTTGTTCCTTAAAGTCAATTTTGACGAGAATAAGCCGATGTGCAAAAACTTGAATGTAAAGGTGCTTCCTTATTTCCACTTCTATCGTGGAGCGGATGGACAGTTGGATTCCTTTTCTTGTTCACTTGCTAAGGTAGGTACTTCCTCCGCTTATCCCTTTATGACTTTTCCCCCCATTTTTGGCATATGCTTTGTTGATGCATATACTAAAAACTCAGTTTCAGAAATATTTCTTTTGACTGTAGAGAAGTCGGAAGAACATAAACTTTGAAATTTGTAGAATCATTTAGAGTTGTTTTTGGCAATCAGCCAAAGCATTCTTTTGACATGATTTAGCTGCTGTGCCTATATCTTGTCAATGGGTTTCAAACTTTGTCACTTCTTTTTTTCCGTTTTTTGTTTTCTTTGAGGGCCCTATGTTGATTGGTTAATTAAAAAAAGAGGGTAGAAACGAGTAACTTTTTGGTAGTGGCGAAATCCTGACATGATCTTACCTATTTCAGCGGAGTGTTGATGTTAAACTTTAAACCTGTTACAGAAATAACTACATCTCTAGTGGTGCTTGCTTCAAAATTGATAATTAAAAAATCACCAGCATACACGGTTAAAATATAGGAATTTAGCTACATGTGAATACTTGGTGCATAAGAGATGGGAGACAATCTTCTTTTAGTGGAATGTATACTGATTGTAGCCTGTAGGGATACAGATCGTGTATCATTTTTCTATTTTTTCAGTCAATGTATTATATTGTATTGTGGATTGTAAATTTTTTTGAAGTGTTATGCAAATAAAATATTGAACAATATACAATTAATTACGTGGCAGAAAGTAAGGTTCTTAAAATCACAAGCATGCATGCATACATATAACATGAAGAGTGAAGATCAAAACAAATGTAACAAAAGATATGACACTCTAGAGTATTATTATATCCTCCTATCAAATAAGTTTCGTTATGTTTTAGCCTGTGTTATTGAAATTGTTACAAATAGAACATATCATTTACTAGGTAACATATAAGATTTTTCTATTCCTATTCATACCAATATACGAGAAAATGAAAGGAAAAGAGAAAGAGAAAAAGGAATTTCTAAATCTAAATAGAACTATTTAGAAAGTTTACCTCAAATGTCTATCACTTGTAAGAGCTGTATAATATATTTCTCTCACTGTTAACACTTTAGGTAGGTCTTTGTTCTTTAGTTTACAACTTTTTAGTTTCAAATATTTTGTCTACTACTAGAACTTCAAGCTTCAGTGGACGTGGGTGGGCTTATCAATGTCATAATATACTAAACAAGTAGATATTTGTGAAGCAAGTTGACAAAAACGAAAGAAGTTCTTATTCATCTTAATGAACCTTTCTCACATTTTTTTAATTTTGATAAAAAATGAACATTTTAACAACATTAATTTTCTTAAATGTTCAATTATCTTTTGCACCAATGCTAAAGAAAATTTAACCATTCATGTGTTGTATATCATATCATTTTATCATATGCATCATATTTGCACCTTAAGATACATTCAATATAAGATTTACCCCTGGCCAGTTCTGCCTGTAGGGCCAGGAGCTGGTTTGGGGAATCATGGAGCCTATGGAATCCCATCTGGCTCATGGGTTCCCGCCCCAGCATGTATTAGTGATACATTTCAATTTACCTCTAAATGGATTGTGTCGTGAATTATAAGATACTGACAAGACTTGTACTAATAGACATGAGAGACATGCTTATAATGTGAAATATGAATTTTCTTTTTTTCCTTTTGAAGATGTCATTCAAAGGATACCTAACTTTTTGATGGTTTTGAATACTGTTAACAGTTTAAAAAAATAAAGGATGCTATTGAATCGCACAACACTGCTCGTTGCAGCATTGGTCCAAGTAAGGGTGTTGGAGATCTTAACCTTGAAGCTTTATCTGCTCCACAGAAGATATGAAATGAGAAGATTTTTATTTTGATTCAGGCTTCTGTCTATAATTTGCATCCCCCCTTGTTTGTGGCCATCAAAAGTGATGTCTGATATATTATTTTGTAAGTTTTCATTTTTCTTTGTGAACAAAGTAGTAACTAGACGAGCTTACACTACTGCTGCATTCTTTGTCGTCGTCGTTCTACCTGTGATGTAGAATTCTTCTACTTTCAGAATTCCCATGAAAATGAAATTCCACCAGGCTGTGCCTATTTTATGATACCGTCTCTTAGCTTATCCCGCTTGTTCGGGTAATTTTCTTGTTAAAATGGCTATCAGATTCAATTATTGTGAAATAAATTGTAGATGTCAATGCCTTTGATATAATGACCATTTTTTTTTTTTTTTTGATTCAAAGATATAATGACCAATTATGTATATGCCTAGAAAGACTTTCCTAGTCCTATGCTTCATGTTGATTAATCATTGGGCTGTATGGGTTGTTTTCCTTGCCTCTTTTGACTTTTCAAGGTTAAAGTACTCAACAAACCCTACAAAATGGACGGTTTGGATCATAAAAATAAGGTCATAATACACCTCAAATAGATGCACCACAGTCACTGCTGTGCCTCACGCACAGCAGTGACCCCCTATCCTAACACTATTCATTACTGGTCCTACTCCCATTTGTACCAAAAAGTAACTCTGCAAGGTACCAAACTTATTTTGCCTTGATGAAATTGGTTGAGTTTTATGAAATCTTGAGCCATCTATTAGGGTTATTATGCTATTATATTATTTTTAGATTGATGAAAATTTTCAATATTGAAGATTGATCTTCAACTTTGGTGTCTTTGAGAACTTCCACTAGAATGATCGTATAGCTTCCAATTGCATTATAATGTCGTTTTTTTAAAGATATGTCCTTTGTTGTTGATTTAATGGTTTGTCTACTGATAAAATCAAAATACCCAAATAGAAAGGTTACTTGGAGAAAGAAAAACTGATTGCATAACACTTTCTAAATTATGAGATGGATTGAATGATCAACTGGATTGTAATGTAGATTGCGCCTGATCAGCTTAGATTGTAATCTGGCTGTCGTATCAAAGTTTTTACCGTGTGAATTTAAAATATATTCTGTTATTTTTTGAGGTGTTGTAGAATTTTTACTGAACAAAACACCAAGTAAATACTGTTATTTACTTAGACGGGGAAATTTTTTTCTAATAGTTGTTCATTTTGCCATGCACAACCAAAGAAATTATATAGGAGAAACATCAAATAAGTGGAATTTTTAAAAAATAATCAACAATGATTCATCCCACTAAAAACATCACCACTAATAGCACTAATACATTAAAAAAGTAAAAAAAAAAAAAAAAACAGGACTCCAAGACCAAAACATCACATCATTAATGGCGGGACCCACTGCCACCTAATTAGTGGGAGCACTAATTAGTGCTCCCAAGCATTTTTCAAAAACAATTATAAATTAGTGGTAATTTTTATAAATATTAATAATTAAAATCATAAATTTTTTCACACGTGTGTAATTATTTTTTTAAAATTACACTTGGGTGTAATTGCCCCAATTGTACATGTATAGATATTTTCTTCTTATTTTCGGAATATTTTGAAAGGATTGAAAAGCTGATTTTTAATTTTTTTTTATTTTTTTGTGAGGAAGGTTTTAACCCACTTCTCAAAATAGGTTAGCCCAACTAAACAAAAACAAGAGGTAAAAAAGTTTTTTTTTTATCATTTCATTAGACTTAAGATTATAACCAATTCACCATGTATGACGTTTCTAATTTTTTAATTCATACTAATTTGATTTTTGTATTTAAATTATCAAGTTTTATAAGTAAAAAATTGTACAAGATAAAACCTACATTTGTAACAATCGTGGCTATGCCTCTATTGGCTCATTTTATGTAATGTTATTATTATTATTTTTTTAAACATAATACGTGAAATATTAATTAAAAATGACAAAAAAAAAAAAAAAATTTAAACCAAAAAATTTAAACCATTGTAGTTGAATTAAAAAAATACAATAATGATATTTTTGGATGAACACGTGTAATAATATACCGTAGGGTGCACAAGCAAACGCACAGTGCACCTCAACTTCCCATACCTGTCTCGCGGTCCGGAAGCTAGAAAAATCACGCAACACCCGTTGTTCGTTACTCTCTCTCTCTCTCTCAACTTTCTCTCTCTTAAAACTCTCCCAAATTTTCCTGAGAAAATAGCCGAGAAAACAAATGACGACGTACGGAACAATCCCAACCTCTCTCCCTGCAGGAGGATCATCAAAGCTCGAGTTCTTTTCCCGCGCAAAAGACAGAATCCGAGCCGACCTCGGCACGCCGCGGCCATGGAAGCTGATGATCACACCACACTCGATCTCTGTCCCCGGCGGCCCCGCCGAGGCCGCCGCCCGAGTCAGCACCAACGCCGCCTTCTTCCGAATGAACTACGCCATCGTCGTCCTCTTCGCGCTCTTCCTCGGCCTCCTCTGGCACCCGATATCTCTCATCGTCTTCCTCGTCATGATGTGCGCTTGGCTCTTCCTCTACTTCCTCCGCGACGAGCCTCTCGTGATCTTCAACCGCACGATCGACGATTGTACGGTCCTGATGGTGCTCTCTGTTTTCACGATCTTGTTTTTGTTTCTGACGGACGTGACGGTGAACATTGTGGTGGGGGTGGTGGTTGGGGTGGTTGTTGTGGTGGTTCACGGCGTGTTGAGGAGGACTGATGATTTGGTGATGGTGGATGAAGAGGAAGGTGAGGTTGGATCTGGTGTGGCTTGGCGTAGACTGCCTCTCAAAGAGACTGCCTCTTCTTCATTTTCCTCATCATCTTGATCTCTGAAGATCATGATGATACACATTATTTGTATATGATCATACCATTGTGTTATTCAAATTAGTTTAGAATTATCAACAACAACAAAAAAAATCATTTAGATTCTATTTAGATTTATAGAATTGAAGAATGAATATTATTAATATGAAAGTTCCAAGTTGATGATTTGGATTAAGTTGGTCAATCTCAATATAATTATTTGACAATCTTTCATTAATGATTCTATTTGTACAAATATTTTAATTTAAAAAAAAAAAAAAAATCTTTTTTCTGAAAATTTTTAATCTCAAATCTCTTTATTTAAAATTCACTCAATTTAAATGAAGCCAAAATTAAATGTTTTAAAATGTCTAAACATACTTATGAAGCAAAGATTAGCACCAATTTGTTATCCATCTCTGCATTTGCATTTGGTTTGTTTAAACATCAACTTATGAAGCAAAGAGCCCAAGTTCTTGAATCTAAAAAGGAATACATAAATTTTTATTTTTTATTTTTGACCTTGGCATAAAGTTAATAATAAGCTGTGAAATTCAATATTGAATTTAACATAGTCACTGAATTCCCTGTTTCAACAAAATTCATTTTTGTTTTTTGATAGCAAGTCAACATTTTCACCATTAACACATCAATTGTTTTTTACTTTTAGAAAAAATATTTTTAATATCTCAATTGGAAATTCTTTAACAAAGAAGAGGCTAGGCAAAACAAAAAAATTATAACAACTCGTGCGAACAAAACAAAATGATCTTCCAATAACTCAAGTGGGTAGATTGTATTCCACATTGTTTTTCTTAAATTTTTCAAGAAAAATATTAGATAAACTAACGAAGTTTATAATTTTTTCTTATTAATTGTTGTGTCATGTAGTAAAGAAAATTTAAAATCTGAAATGATATCTGCTTCAATAATGTGATAGAAGTAACATCAATGACGGAGAAAATTTTATAAAATTTACTAGTTATTATATTAGTGCACTTTTTTAGATTATATTCAGCTTGTTTATTTTTGGCTTTTCAAAAACACTTTTCAGAAAATTCTACTTTCTTATTTTTTGTGGTTTTTTTTATTTTTACTGAATTTTTTTAATATTTTAAGTAATTTTTAAAATTTTTAGACACACCTAACATAAATACACATAAAAAGTATAATTTTTGTGATAAATTTTTTTAAAAATTCACTAAATACCAAAAATAAAAAAATACTAGAATTCAGTATATTTTTCATATTTTTATGCATCTATTAATTTTTTAAAATATTTTTTTACAAATTTTTTACTTTTTAGATACATCTAAGTAAAGTGTATCTAAAAAAATAAAAAGAAATGCTTAAAATTTTAAAAATATTCACTAAAAATAAAAAAAAATATGAAAAATAAAAAATTCAATTTTTAAAAAATTTAATTTACAAAACTCAAATCAAACACACAAATAAGTTCTTTTGAATTTTTTTAGCCACTGCCACATATTGTTGCTTAGATAGTCTAAAGACCAAAAGAAGAAAATCATAGTTATCAATGATATTGAATTCAACCTTTTTTCTTGTGCGAATATTGAACTTCAATGTTCAAAGTAGTAAGATTTTGTTATCTAAAGTTGTTGAAGAGTTTCTTTTAACGGTAGTGCTATGTAGCTCGAAACCCGTGGCTTGAGTTTGGCTCGACATCAAAACGACGTCGTTTTGGTGTCAATTTTTTTTTTTTCTTCTTTTTCCGTGTTTTTGTTGCAGAACGAAGAAGAAGAAGAAGAAGAAGAAGAAGAAGAAGAAGAAGAAGAAGGAAGAAGAAGAGAAGGGAGGAGGAGGAGGAGGAGGAGGGGAGGGGAGGGGGCCATAAAAATCGGCTGGAGGAGGAGGCGGGGCTGCGGCTGCGACTGCGACTGCGACGATTGGCGAGGCGGTGGCGGTGGTGCGACGATCGGCGAGGTGACGGTCTGAAGCTGCAACGATCGGCGGCGAGGCGACGGCGATGGTGCTGCGCGACGATCTCCTCCCTCCCTTCTTCCTCTCCCTCCCTTCTCTTTCTCCTCTCCCTCTTTCGAGCCAATTCAAGCCCTTAGTGTCGAGCTACGGCTCATTTCCGTTCTTTTAAAAGGTTGGAATATTTTGAGTTCCATCTCATAATTCTCCATCACCAACCAATTATGATGTACCTTTACTTAGAACACTAATGATAACACAACACTGCCAAATATATTTTAATCATGCGAGGAGGTATTGAGGTATCGTTTGGTATTATTACTTTTTAGTCTAAAAATTAAAAAATTACTAAAAAAATTAAAAAATTAACCGCCTATATTAAAAAGTCAAAATTTTCATTTTTTTCTATTTTTTACACATTTTTTGTAAAAAATAACAAAGTTATCACAAACATATTAATTTTTTTTACATCATATTTTAACCAAAAAATTATTAAAAAACACTTATTCTCCGATGAGACTTGAGTGTAATGAGTTCCATCTCATAATTCTCAATCACCGACCAATTATAATACACCTTTACATAGAACATTATGACACAACACTGCCAAATATATTTATATACCTTTACTTAGAACATTTGGGGTGTTTGTTTCAGTTTTTCAGAGTCAATATATGACTTTTAGTTTTGAAAAAATTATTTTGAACTGTTTAGTTAAACTTATTTCAATCAGTTTCTGATTCTAACAGCTTATTTTAACTCAAAAAAGCTGATTCTGAGAAGCTGCTCACCTCTTGCTTCTGATTGTCAGCTTCTGCTGTGGACATGTTAATTTATGGTTATACTCTTAAGTTTTTTTATTTTTTATTTTTTTTAAAATTGAAAAAGACTCAAATGGACTATAAATTATTATTATTATTTTTTATGAGAAATGTAGACAAACAAAAAATAAAAACTAATTGAAAAAGCTATTTCGTAGCTTATTTAACAAACACTACTCAGCAACTTAAATCTATAATCCAACAATTACACCAAATAAATTAACAACTTCTGATTAAAGTCAGAATTTATAATCTGTTAAGTTACAATTTATAAACTGTTTTAACAGTTACACCAAACAGGACTATTATGACACAACACTGCCAAATATATTTAATCATGCGAGGAGGTAGGTAACTTTTTGGCTATTTGGCTAAAAAGGTAGGTAAAAAAAACTTGTATGTTTGGGATGACTTTTTGGCTAATTACGAAAAGATGTGCAAAAAGTAGAGAGCAAAGAGAATCTTTGACTTTTTGGTATGAGTTGTTGACTTTTTGACTAATTTAGTAACTTTTTGACTAATTGACTAAAATAGCCTCTTGCCAAACGAGGCCTTAGTGTGCGGGAAAGTAGCATGCACCAGCATATTGCATCTGCTACACTTTATATTTCTCTAATCATGCTTATTTGTTTTGGCATTACTTACCCTAATCACACATTTGTTGGTGTAATAATTGGAATATTACTTTCAGTTGCAGTTTCAACTGCAGTAGTCATAATATTTAATTACAAAAATTAAAAAATAAAATTACAAATTAATTTTTTAGTTATTAAAATTAGAAAATAAATTATAACACAAAATAATTTTACTTTTCTTGTTACTAAAGCCATAAAAATAAAATACCACAATAATTTTCTATAACACCAAATAATATTCTGTAATTGTTAATGATACCAGTATATTACTACTAGTTGTCAAAAAAAATAGACAGTATATTATTACTATCTGTCAAATAGTTTATAAATACTATTTGTATTTTTCAAATAGAATATCACTTTGTGAAAACACAGAAAATTAAATACAATAAAGATACAAAACTGTTTTATATGTCTTAAGATTGTTGGACAATCTTCACTGTTTTTAAATAAATTAAATTCTGTTGTGTACTTAATAACAAACAGAATAAATAAAAAATAAAAGAAATGAGAGAATTTGTTTGATTACAAAAATCAAACCAGAAAAATAAAATAAAATAAATAATAACAGATTTTTATTTTGTTACAAAAACAAAATCAAAAATCTGATTTAAATAAATAAATAAAACATAAAATAAATAACCAACTTACTTGATTAATTTCTTGAATAATATTATGATCAAATCCAGTGTTAGACACTGTGTCCTTAAGACAGATTCATTCTCTCCACGGTGCTTTCAGAATGTGGACGTCTATCTCTCAGGATGAAATGATCAACAACGAATAAATGTAGCACTACAATTTATTCATACAACGAACACACTAAGTGTTCACACTATTTCTTACAAAAATTAAATGCAGCAAAATACAGAATATATTAGCAGAAGGGAAGTATGAATTTTCTAAATTAAAACATCAAATGAGGGCTGCCTATTTATAGATGCAGTGGTGGCTATTGGTTTTGAATTAAACAGGTGCAAACCTATTCGGTCTTGAATGAATAGATTTAAATCTGTTGGGTTCAAAATTCAAACAGATAAAAACCATAGAGACTTGTTTGGGTGTAGAGAAAAATTGGAATAAATTGATTCCGGAATTAATTTCAATTCTGGATAGTTGGACATATTTTATTTAAAAAAGTAAAATTAAATCCAAATGTTTTTGGCCCAAAAAGATTAGTATTGGGCCGAACAAGCCCAACCCAACCACACACCACGCACCCGAGCCCGATCGGACGGACGGCGGCGCGCGTGTGTGTGGTGATTTTTTGGTCCAATGGGTCTAACCCATTTTGTCCATGACCTCATTCTCTACAAAACTTTGGTACCCCTTGGGGCACACCCCAAGTTCCAATTTCAAGCCTTATAAACCCATTCAAAATTTCCCACAAAATCAATGTGAGACAAGCCATTTTTTAAACTTTTAAGGATTTTCCACAAAAACTCCATTTCCATGGAATACACTTTGGCTTCAATTTTTCATTCACTCGATAATGATTTTGAGCAACCAAATATATCACGTGAAACACAAAGCGGCATAGAACGCGTTACCACTTAGACCGGCTAATTTAGGCGTACGGGTCCCACCTAAATAATAGACCAAAGTTAGGAAAAATTCTGTTTTTAACCTAGAATTTCCAAACCATTTCTAACAATCCCCTACATGAGTGGAATTTGATGACAACAGAAATGTTACAATATACAGAACCTATCAGACTTACTAGCTAACCAATGGACGCGATACCTTGAATTGTTCAGCCGTTTGTGTAAGCCAAGACAATAGATTTCATACAAAATATCTTCTAACACATCGTGGTTCTCAT